GGAGCTCTAGTAACTCCCGTTTCAGGACATCCAACAGCTCTTCTGACCTACTCGGACTCCAGGGATGCAAGTAATGTACAGACAAACGTGCAGGCAAATCACTCATATGCAGAGAATAAAATAAAAACAAACTTATGAAACAGAGGTTTATTTTAAAAAGAAAGCCTAGGCTCCAAAAGATTAAGTAACTTCCCATAAGGGGAGGAGCCTGGGTTTGTACCCAGGCCTCAGACCCCAGAGACTGCTCTAGAACTCTTGAGTTACAGCAGCTTCCCAGTTTTCCAGGGCAGCAGTGGCAGGGGGTGGGTATACCACAATGCAGGTTTTCTGAGCAAGTATGTAATATGCTTGAAATGGGGGCATCTAGCTCTGGTTGCCTGATCAGTGTCCCTACAAGAGACAGGCATTGTACTAGCTGCCTGGCCTTGAGTAAGTGACTTATTCTCTCTGGTTCAGTTTGTCTGCAAAATGGCGGGGTAACAGTACCTACTGCTGTAGGTTTGTCCCGGAGAGTAACTCAACAGCGCATATGTACAGTGTATGGCACCAAGCTTGGTAGACCACAAACGCAGGGTCAGTGTTGACTGCTGTGAGCCGCCATGAAGAGGTCTGTAGCTCCCCCTGGCTGTGGTGGGTAGCCCTGCAAGGGTTTGCCTCTCGTATACGCAGCCCAACACTGTCTCCTTGTGACTGTCTCCTGCAGCCAGTGTGCCCTGCGCTCGGGGTTACCTCCAGGCACGGTTCCACTCTATCTCATGGGAACCTGGGCCAGTTCCTTCCCTTATGAAAAACGCCTCAAGAGTCCACCATGAGAGCGAATGGTCCACCAAAGGCAGACAGTGCCTGTGGTGACCTCTGGTGTTCACGGTGACGTGGGTGCCCACCTCCCGAGTCCACCATGAGAGCGAATGGTCCACTATATAGACAGACAGTGCCTGTGGTGACCTCTGGTGTTCACGGTGACGTGGGTGCCCACCTCCCGAGTCCACCATGAGAGCGAATGGTCCACTATATAGACAGACAGTGCCTGTGGTGACCTCTGGTGTTCACGGTGACGTGGGTGCCCACCTCCCGAGTCCACCATGAGAGCGAATGGTCCACCAAAGGCAGACAGTGCCTGTGGTGACCTCTGGTGTTCACGGTGACGTGGGTGCCCACCTCCCGAGTCCACCATGAGAGCGAATGGTCCACTATATAGACAGACAGTGCCTGTGGTGACCTCTGGTGTTCACGGTGACGTGGGTGCCCACCTCCCGAGTCCACCATGAGAGCGAATGGTCCACTATATAGACAGACAGTGCCTGTGGTGACCTCGTGTTCGTGGACTTTTGATATTCCAGAAATTTTTGAACTACAACTGGCCTGGTGGCTCAGCCAAGTACTTGTTTTGGAAGCCTGGCGACCCAAGCTCAGACCCTGGAACACATGTAATTGGAGAGAATTGATTCCTAAAGTTGTCCCCCTGTGGCATGGACACGGAACACACACACACACACACAGAGACACACACACACAGAGACAGAGAGAGAGAGAGAGAGAGAGAGAGAGAGAGAGAGAGAGAGAGAGAGAGAGAGAGAGAGAGAGAGAGGAGAGAGATCTTCATATCTGTGAACAGGTGAAGAGTTTCTCCTGCATCTCAGTGCTGATGTCACCCTAGCCCATTTGACCTGTTCCTCCACAGGTCACAGCCCATTTGACCTGTTCCTCCCTAACCCTCTTGGCAGGAGACAACATAACCCCATTTCACAGGTGAGAAAACTGAGCCCCAGATGGGAAATCTTGTCTGAGCCTGGAATAAAGCCCTCATCTCTGCACCACTAAAGGTCCTTCTCCTAGGTCCAGTGTGAAATGAAGGATTTGTAAGGACAGTGGTTGTCAACCTGTGGGTCATGACCCCTATGGCAGTTGAATCATCTAAGACCAGTGGAAAACCCAGATATTTACATTGCAATTCATAACGTTAGCGAAGCTAGTTGTGGAGTAGCAACAAAAATAATTCTGACTGGGAGTCAGCACAGCATAAAGAAGTGTTTCGGTGGGTCGCAGGGTTAGGAAGGTTGAGGAGCACTGTTGTAGGAGTCTCCTGTTCCCGGCATCATCCTCCGTTGGTGGGTAGGAGCTAAACGAGACGTCAGTGCTTTGTGGCATCGTAAGACTTGAAAACTGCCCTGACATTTGAGGCCCTGGGTCTGGCCTGCTGAGCCCGTTGGCCTGTGAGGATCCTGGGAGCCACCAGGCCCCGTGGGACCAGCCTCCCCCATGGCTGCAGAGGCAGAGCCAGGCCGCCTGTTCCAGCCCACACTAAAGCCGAATCCCACTGCGGGGAGGGCCTGGGTCAGAAGCCTGCTTCAAAGATTCCTGTGTCTCAGCAGACACCTCATTATCCCAGCCAGCCTCTGTAATCATACAGGCCCACGCCCAGCAGTCTTCCCAGGCCAGGAAATCACTCCCTCCCATCCCCCGCCTTCCGCCCGCCCGGGGCGCCCTGAACCTCGGTGCCTGCGGCGGCCACTCTTCAGTGGCCCTCTTGCCTGCCTAACGGTTTTCTCTCCTGCTTCTCCTTGCTCTCTCTCGGGGACTCGGAAGTGTGGCTAACCAGCTGGACTGAGTCTCCCAGGAAGGACGTGACAGGTACTGCCTTGCATGCATGCGTGTGAGCATGTGGGTCCCAGCATGTGTGCCGAGGAGCTGGTGCCCTCAGGCAGGCTTCCTTGGGAATGCTTCCCGTGTTCTGCTTGCTGCGTGGGGGCCTTTGCCTCTCCCTGGGCCTTCTGCCTGCGGGAGAGCCCTTTATAGTCCTCGGATGAGCCACCAGGCCTTGCAGAGTGGTGACCAAGTGGAAGAGTGTGAGTGTGTGCTGGCCCAGCGGCTCAGCCCTGCCCTGCCTGTGCTGCCAGGGAGGGGCGGGGGTGGGGTGATAACCTGCCAAAGGCGTGTAGTGCCATCTCAGGGAATTTCTGGTCCAGGTGACGATGGGCTGCCGTCATCTTTGACCGCCTCGGGGAGAGCAACCAAAGATGAGCCGTCTCTAATCTGAGGCAGGGAGTCCCTGACACCTTCCAGAGGTCTCTCTGGGGAGCTAGAGATCTGGAGTTTAGGAGGGCCCTTCCTGTACATGTGACAGGGTGGATCATAGCCCCAGATCTCAGTAGTCCAGAGCTTGGAATTGCCCCAAGGCCTTTGGCTGCTCAGCTGAGGTGGCTTTTGGAGCCTGGGGACTTAGCCTTTATCTGGTCCATCTGGGTAGAGGGTCAGGGTCTTGATTTTAGCCTTGTGCCAAAACCCATGAACAGCAGAACCATAGTGCTTGGAATAAATGGTGGGAGAGGATCCTCAGAGCGAATATTCAGGCTGAGGAGGTGGGGAGGCATTGACACAGGGCTGCAGGAAGAAGGGGTCTTAGTCCAGTTGCAGGATTAAAGCTCAGACTTCACCCCCGCCCACGCTCCCCCCTCCCTGCTGTTGGCAGGGAGAGGAGTGTTGAGCATCCTGGGAGCGAGCCCAGGAGAGAAGGCAGTGGGGGAGGACCCCCTTCCCCCTGGCCGTCCTCATGGTGTTCCCTCTGATGCGCCTGGGACTGAGCTAATCATTGGGCTCCTGTCCCTTTTTCCCCTCTGCTCACGCCAGTGATCCAGAGCCCACTTGGCCTTCAGCAACATTCTATTCACCAAACGTATAGCTGAGAGGCCAGAGGCCCAGTACAGCCTGGGAGGAACCAGCTGTGAGGAGCTGTTGGGTCTCGGTGGGATGTTCAGGGTTGGGAGTGTTATGCAGAACCTGGGGCTATGTGCCCACAGGGCCTGGCTTCTTAAGATGAGTCCAACTCTCTGGAGTCAGAGGCCCAAGGCGGGTGTCCTCCTAACCCTTACCCTAGAGCGGCATGGGCAGCCAACCGAGAGCTCTCGGCTAGAGTCTCTCCCAGCCATGGTTTCCCTTCTAGAACGTTAGGGGAATTCTGTCAAACAGGAAGTGCAGAGGGGATGGGCTGATGCCAGAGATCCTAATAGCTAGGGGTCCTGGGGCAGCTTAGCCTGGTGTCCAATCCAGAGTGGCCTGGGAGCCTCTGAGCTGGCACTCTTCAGCTGGGAGGGCCCCCATCTGCCAGGAGGCGGGTCTAGGAGAGGCATATTGCAGGAAAGTAGCATTAGGCTTCCCTCTCCACCCTCCCGGTGCAGTGACTAGGGATCGATTTTGCTATGAGCTAGCTGCCTCTGGTAATGAGGTCCTTAGCTCCTCCAAGTCTCCCACACTCTGCTCCCTAAACAGCTGTCTGCACTTTACAAAGGCTTTAGGCCTGTGACTTCAGAGCACTCACAGAACAGCCCCGAGGTGCTGCTCCTGTTTACAGATGAGGAAGCTAAACTCGGGAAGGTTAAGCGTCCTCCCCAAGGTCAAAGGGCAAGTGAGGGCAAGGCTGGACTGGGAACGGAGTCCCTTTTGCCTTTTGAATGCTAGGCAGTGGTTGTGTCTGGGTGACTAGTCAGAAGCACGTGGTCACGTGGTCTGCTTGGAGACCCATTCCCAACTAGAAGCGCAGGGGAGAGCAGGAGACTCTGGCCAGAGTGCTAAGGGAGCCTCCTGGAGAGTCAGGAGTGCTTTTGTAGAGTTGAGAGCAATGGAAGAGGAGGGGAAGGAGGGGGCGCGGGGGCAGGCCTACAGGGGAGGCTTAAGAAGAAATGTCCACAGGGACATAGTGGATGCTCACACATGTGCTAAGTCATCAACATTCCATGGAATGGTGGAGGAATAGCAGGGGACTAGGGGTGCACTAACTGCAGGAAAGACTGGGCTTGGATTTGCCTTTTATCCTGTAAGTAACAAGGAGCCATTGACGGTATGGGAGCCGGGGAACGACTTGGCAAAGACCTAGTTTAGAAGCCTAAGCTGATAACAAAAATCCCAGCATTCGGGTGCAGATGTCAATTGGAGGACTACGGGTATGAGGCAGGGGTAAGGCAGAGACCCTCAGGACGCTAGCAGGCCCAGCCAAGGACTCTGATAAAGCACAGGACTCCAGCTCGCCTGCAAAGTCCCATCCTAACCCAGGATGCAGAGCTCTCTGGAAGGGTCCGCCCCTCTGCACTCTGCCAAAGCCTTCTTGTCTGAGCACGAGAGTCCCCCTCCCTAGCAGACTCCTCCAGACCCCAGTTTTCCAGGCCTTGCCTGCCTTGGAGGGGATCCAGAGCTGCTTCTATAGATGACATCACCACCCACCACCAAGCAGTTTCTCATCTGGGTACCTGCTCCTCGTGCCTGCTGCCATGCAGCGACAACCCAAGAGGCAGGCGCCAGAGGGAGGAGCTGGGAGCGTGCCTGTACACGGGGAGAGAGACTCCCACAGCTAGTGCAGCTGTCTCCAGGAAGACTGGCAGCCTGTGCTGTGTGGCCCTGGAGAATGGCCGCTTCGCTGTGCCTTTCTGAGTCCCAGAATGCTGGCCGTTAGAGGCCCCAGCCAGTTTTCCAGGCAGACTTCGGATGAGGGCTGTGGGTGTGTTGATTTTTCTCCGCTTTGAGATCTTGCCTCGGATTTTTCTTAGCTTGGATCAAGATGAGCTGCTATCTGTCCCCTCTCTGGCACCTCATCTTTGTCCTCACGTCTTTGCTGTCTGGCCATAAGCTTCTAATTGTCTAGCTTCCCATCTTCCTTTCAAGCTCTGCCACTTATTGTCCCCGTTTCAGAGGTAAGGCCCGCCCTGGTTTTCCAAGATGGGCGTTACGGCCGCACGTCTGCCTGGAAGTACTTTCGTTCCACTCAGTTCCTACCACCAATGGACGTATGTGGTCATCATTAGAAGTGACTGCACGAGTCTCTGAGAATCCCCAACTCCGTTGTTACCAGGTGTGCCCGGTGTCTGGGGATTCGGTGAGGCAGGGTCCTTCCTAGAGGCTACAATGGCACCTGCAGGCCGTGTGCGATGCAGGAGTTAAGATCATGTGCTTGCTGGCATGGGACTTGGGTTTAGTCCCAGCTAAGTGACCTTCGGGAATCTGTTTCCCCTGGACCTTCAGTTTACGTGTGTCTGACGTGGGGGCTGTGTGGAGCCCACTGTGGAAGGCGGCTGTGAGGACCACGCATGACGCTTCGGTTGGATGCTGAGTGTGGGGCTGAGCCTGAGGGGCCCTGATGGGGGCTTGCATGCGATTTGGCACGCTCAGGGCTTAAGAACTCCTACCACTGCCCCACCCCCGTCTTGTATTCTCCCCTCCCATTTTTCACATCCAAGGTCCCCTCAGTGGCTGGCCCTTTTGTGGTTTGTGCCACATAGGCACTGCTGTCCCCCAGGGCACAGTGGAGGGCTGTCTGTCACCCAGTGCCCAGTCTGTTACCAGCTGGCGCAGAAGCTAGCGACATCTGCGCATAGAGGCCGGGCTGCCCAGCTGTTGGCTGTGTTTTTGCCTGAAATACAATTCTGACTTTTCAGGGGCTCCCTGGGACCTTGTGTGTGTGCACCCATGGGGCACACCTCAGCTTCTGAGTTCCCAAAGGGCCCCTCTAGGGCTGCAAAGTCCACACCATGCGGGAGAAAGTCTTTCTCTTCCCAGGAGAAGAAACTTGATTGACTCTCCCAGAGTTCCCTGGCCACAGACCCTGACAGCGCCTTCTTCACAAAGGGCCCAGAGGTCTGAGCAGTGCCTCTCACTTTTGGCTGCATATGTGAACCGTGGGACAGGATGGGGTATGTAAAATGACTCATGCGGAGGCCCCACCCACTAAAGCCAGCCCTCCAAAGCCTAGGCATCAGAGCTAAGGGGTTTAAAAGCTCCTGGGATGGGTCTACATTCCTAAGTGGAGGATCATTGTGTCGGAAGGACAGTGTATGGAAATAAATCAGTGTTCTGTAATTAGAGGAGACACGAACCCCATCCTCCGAAAAGACCGTGAGTGGTTCGGCTGTCTCAGTATGAGCTGTGGGAACTGCATGTGTCTTGTCCTGTGAGAGCCTCCCATTAACCTGGGAATTAAAACGGGGTGTCTCCAGGTGACCTGAAGCCGTACCTGCCTGGCATGCATGTGAGTCAAACTCAGTCACGTAGAGGGAATGCGTCTGAGGGTGAGGCCCCACGGGAGACTGGAAACACCGCACTGTTTCTATGGCCACACCATAGTGGTGAGAAACATTGGGCGAGTTTTGCATTTGCTTTGGTTTTGAATCAGGGGTTTTGACTGGCAATCCAAGCTGACTTTGAACTCCTGATTCTCCTGCCTCAGCCACTGGTGTGGGAATTACAGGCTGACTGGCAAACGTGGCGGTGTAGGAACTGTGCCAGAATTCCCTTGGGGGTGGAGAGGCCTGGGAGGGCTTCCTGAAAGAGGTGATTAGTCATTTTCTGGCTTGTGGCAGGGCTAACAGCACATCCATCCACACACCATCCAAGTTGAGATGGGCATCCGGCCTGACCACTGCACAGCCTGGTGCTACGTTAATGAACGTCACGCTGGTCCAGTAGCCAAACAGGACAAAGAGCTGCCTGGCTCCTGGCAGCGGGGCTCACCTGCCCTCTCTCTCTGATACACCCCAGCCTTTGACTCTGAGGCTCCTGAAACTGCCCAGGGCTTCAAGGCAAAGGGGGCCGGTCACTGTCTGCGGGTTGAGATGGCAGCGGAGAGGACCAGAAAGGCTCCTCTGGAAAGCCCTGCCCTCTGAGAGCCAGGAGGACAGGAATGGAGCCGAACTTGAGGAAAGTTGGCGGGGTGGGGGAGGTGGGGGGGGGGCGGCTCTCCAGCACTGGCTCTGGGACTTTCTTCTTCGGTTTCAAGTAAACAGTCTGGGCCCTCCTCCATCCCCAGCCTCCACCCCCAGATCCTCATTCGACGGCTCTCATGTGTTTCTATTTAAGGGTTGCGAGTAAGCCCTAGTGATTGGCGGCCTCAAACCCTCTTGACTCTTTGCTGGACCTAGGCTGTGGAGAAGTTCTCTCCCTCTCTCTCCTGAGGGGAGCCCTGTTGTTGCCTTTTCTCTCTGGGTTTACAGGCTTGGGGTAGAGGCAGCAGGCCTCCTGGGCCTCCCCCTCGACTCTCTTCTTTCTCTCCCTTGTGCTCTGGTCTCGGCCTTCATGGGCCGCCCACGGTGCTCCTCTGGCCCTCCCCTCACACCCCAGCCGGCCCAAGAGTCTGGAGAGCCGGGAGGCCCCAGGCCCCTCTGCAGACTCCCCCATGCCGGGCTGTGACTAACTTCACACGCAGCAGCCGCAGACTTTCCCCTGTTTCCTTGTCTTCCATCTCTGCCCGTCTCTGCCTCTCTCCACCCCCTCCTCCTCCCCAGTCCCCTGGCTCCCCATGTCCCCCGGTCCCCGCGGTGCAGCGGGCCGGTGTGGGGCCTTGCTATATGGCCTGTCCTTGGGGCCCAGCAAGCTTCGAGCCCTGGCTACGGGCTGCTCCTCTGTGCAGCAGCGCTGGCGACCGAGCAGCCTCCCTCGAGGGCGATGGACAGAGGGCGCCCCCGGACGCGGGGCCACAGCCGGCCGCTGGCTCACCGCGTGCTTTCTGCCCTCGCCAGGTGCCGACCCCAACGCCGAGCCCATGATCCTGGAACAGTACGTGGTGGTGTCCAACTATAAGAAACAGGAGAACTCCGAGCTGAGTCTCCAGGCCGGGGAGGTGGTAGATGTCATCGAGAAGAACGAAAGTGGTGAGTGCCTGCCTGGCCGTCGCCGGTCCGCGCCTGGTTCCGGCCTGGCTCCTGGGCCCGGCTGGGTTTTTGTTCTTTTCCTCCCCCCCCCCCCCAACCTCTGCAGCTATACGTTATTTCCATCTGGCAGGGAGAGGGCCGAGGAGTCTGAAGTTCCCCTGTTGGTTTGGGCTGCAGGCCAGCAGTTTGCCTGGTGGTGGAAGAATGTCTCCCCGGCTTGAGGCTAATTAGCCAGCTTGTGCTAACGCAAGGCAAGGTGGCAGCAGAAGCACCCATTCCCTATTCAGGGACCTCACGCTCTCTGAGGCCCAGAGGAGGTAGCAGCTTTAGCCCTAGTGCCCAATGACAGCTTCGCCAGTTGAGCTATCTGCCAGGATCCAGACAGAAGTGGGAGGCCCCAGTCAGCTGGTGAAGACAGGCCATGACATCACAATGGGTTCCAGAGTCCCCAGACCCCGGGCTAGATGTCTGAGGAAGGGCCAGGCCTGCGGGGAGGTTGGCTGGTGTCTGGGCAGTGGGTGGGGAGTGAGCTAACTGCCCCCCGCTGAGCTGGACGCCACCAGGACCTGGGAAGAGGGCCCAAGCACTGGATAGCCAGGTCCCGGAGCTGGAGGGGTCCTGCTGGATAAAGCCAGGTCCCGGAGCTGGAGGGGACCTGCAGTTGCCACTTTGTCATTAGGAACTGACGTAGGGACCATAGCCGTGGCTTCCCAGGGTCTGCTGCTTCCAGAGTTCTTGCAGAGTGGGCCAAAATCCCTTGGTATCCTTGGCAAGAAACGGCAGGTAGATGGAGAAAAGAGGGGTCGAGTCTGTCAGTCCCACGCTGCAGGCTCGTGTGGCTCCTGAAGACGGGCCAGACGGTCCCTGAAGCCACAGCATCCCCCAAGCTTGCCCACAGCCAGCCAGCTTGAAAGTCCTGTGTGGGGTTTGAAAAAGATTCAGGATCTTGTTTTGGTTTCAGTTTCAGTTTGCTGGGGCGGGGGCAGGCCTTGAGTACAGGTGCACCCCCGGATTGCGTCTGTAGGTCCTTCAAAAGGGAGGCCCGATAGTGTTCTCCGTTGTTCCCTTCTCGTATTTCCAAAGGAAAGCAGCCCAGCCGGGTCACTGTGCCCATTCTGTAGATAGAATGACTGAGGCACAGAGAGCTGGAGGGGAAACAAGTATCCTGAGGTCAAACACAGTGTTCCTGAACTTCTGAATGATAATGCCTCTAGGTGACTGCAGACGAGCTGAAAGAGATCGCATTGGACGTTGGAGGGGACACCGCTCCCTAGCACAGGGCTGTGGTGTGAGCATAGGCTGTCACCTTCATAGTTCCTTTCCCTCCCTGAGAAGTCAGGCTCAGTCCTTGTTCGTGGGTGGCTGGCTGTGACACCCCACACTTGACAGAACGTGACTCGGTACCAGATCTTGATTCCAGGTGACCACCACCCTGCTTCCCTTCCTGTGTAACCTTGCTAAGCCATGCCGTTGGCCCCATTTCTCCGATCTCTACGGAAGCTGGGGGCTGGCTCTGGGAGCCCCAAAGCCCTGAGGCCCTGTGAAGGACCTTTCTTGACAGAATGAGAGGCAACAGGGGAGAAAAGTTTGTTCACTTGGGAGCTTGCTCCTAGCAAAGGCAGGAGCCTGCTTTTGAATGCCAGAGCAGTTCCTTCAAGTTCCTCCTTAGGGACTCACCTGCTGTCACATGTACCCTGCCACACCACCACCGCTGTGTGACCCAGAGTAGCAGGAGACTCCCCGCTGCACGACTCCATGCTGAGTGTGGTGGCACATCTTTACTCCTAGCATTCAGGAGGCAGAGGTAGACACTGCCTGGAGTTTGAGGCCACCCAAGGCTAAATAGTAAGGCCCTGTCTCAAAAAATAATAAGATTAATAAAATTAAAGATTCAATAAAGGGGATCCATTGCCCTTTCCATCCCGTATCTGTAACGCTTAGCGCACACAGACTCTTGCCTAAGGGTGAAGCAAGGAGAACTCAGAGAAGGTGGGTCTGTCAGGCTTGGAGACAGTATGGAGAGACCTGCTTGCCTACATAGCCCCCCTTGGCTTGTCACTGCCACCCATCCCCGAGCAGCCCAGTCTAGCACAGGGACCCCATAAGAGGGCTGCCGTCCTTAGATGCAGGATTCTGACTGCTACCAGCTATCTGGGCAACTTCAGGTCCCCTTACTTTCCCAGGCCTATTCCTTCTGTGACATGGGGTGACCTTGTGGCTGCTGGAAGTGGAGGCTGCCTGTGTCTGAGCTGCTGGGTGGCTCAGCAGGGCCCTGGGTGTCAGCTGGAGAGAGCCTCATTATTTGTGACTTTTCCGCTGTTCTCATGGCTTGTAGCCACACGTGTGTTCAAACACGGACCTGACAGGTGGCTGGGATGGACATCCAGCTTAACAAGAGAGGCAGGGTAAAGATGACCAGACTTCTGATCCTGGGGGGTAATGCGCTGGAAAAGAAGGTGGAGGCTGGGCTGTGGGGTTGTAGGTGAGGTGTGTGCATCCTGTGAGCTGGTTTCGGAAGGAGTGGTGAGTGAGGCTTCAGAACGCATGAACAAAGGCCGATTGTGATGCCTCTGACCTGGGACATGCAGAGCGTGTTGCAACATTTCTACTGGGACATGGTGAGCGTGTTGCAACATTTCCACGGGCATTGTTGGGCCTCCTGTTTGATGCAGGCCTCTGCCTGAGTGCCCTTTTACTTAGCTGGGAATCGTTCAAACAGAAGGTCCATGGAGAGACCCAGCAACCTCTGACTCTGCCTGTTGGTCAAAGGCCCCTTGTGACCTGGACTACAGCCATGAGGTAATGCGGGGTGTGGTCATGCCAGCACTCTGTGTCACCCATCTAAAGAGATGTGTCTGGAAGGTGATACCAAATCTATAGATAGTAAGTGGCAGGCCCCTTACCGAATAGGATAATTGTACCAATTTCATGGAATGATCCTGTGTGGTAGAAGGCACCATTTTGTAGCCAAAGTAACAAAGAGTTTAGGTGATTCTTAGAATCCAAAAGCCGAGGTCTCTCCTTCCCAGAAGGCCCCAGGGGAGACTGGGATGCACTGGCCTTGAGTGTTAAGAGGGTAAAGTATGTGTCAGTGATAAGTGGGTTAGAGACATGGACTGGTCAAGATGACCAGAGATCTCCCTGGAGCATCCTTGCTAAAAGATTTCCCTGGAATCCTGCTTGCCTGGCATTCATAGGTAATGCAGTATTAATGAGTATATTGACCCTTTGAACTTGGAGGCCAGCATGAGTTGGGAAGATCTCAAGGTGAGGTGCTCCCCACACGAAGGATAACCCATGTCAAGAAGCACATATGTGGGCAGAGGTTGCACACACCGTTTTGATCAAACAGGAGGAGCCCATCCACGTAGGAAGACTCGTCCTCCACTTGTCAATAGGACCACACAGAGCAGAAAGATACAGCTTTGGTAGCTTACCATAGAGCAAGCCACGCCAGGGCCTGACTGCAGCAGCTGTTGTTTCTGTATGGAAACCCCTTGACCCTTCACCCTTGACCTCAGCATGGTACCTGAAATACCTCCTTATAGGACATCCTTGTGTCTCAAAGACCGGTACTGGCTGTCTCTTCTGGCAGGCATCACTGGTGAGACCTCTGCAGACGGGTAACGTCATGGTCCTGTTGCTGGTTTCTGTGTTGAGCGAAGCTGCCTGCAGCTTTCCAGGGTTGTTTCCTTCTAAGAGTGCAGTCAGGACAGGGCGTGTGGAGATGAGTCAGCAGAATTTCTCCTGCCTCAGCCTCGGTCTTGTGAGCCGCTTACTTCCTGGCATCGGCATGACACACTGAGGGTTCTGATCCTCCCTTGGAAACAAAGGATTCCGAGTTTCTCTTGTAAATCTGTTCACTTTCCCAGTGAGAAAACCAAGCTTTGGGAATCCATACCCTCCAAATCCAGTGCTTTAGTACAGTTGATCTGTGACCAAAGGCTTCCTTTCACTTTTTCAAGAGACTGTTGAAAGACTACAGGAAAATCTTGCTGAAGCCAAGAGTGAAGTGTGAATCCCAGTCTTGAGGAGGCTGGGACTGGGAAATCTCACTCTTTCCTTTCTTGACTGTGTCTCTGGCCGCCCCTCACTGTGTGTGTGTGTGTGAGAGAGAGACAGAGACAGAGACAGAGAGACAGAGGAGACAGAGAGAGAGATGGGCGGGAGACCAATGCTATCCTGGCATGAGAAACAAGAATCAATTTGCTTCTTAAATTTTTTTAGATCTACTTATTTTATTTCATGTACATCAGTGCTTGTCTACATGTGTGTATGAGCATCACGTAATGTCTGGTACCTGCAGAGGTCAGAAGAGAGTATTGAATTCCCTAGAACTGGAGTTACGGATGGTCATATGGGTGCTGGGAACTGAACCCAGGTCCTCGTTAAGAGCAACATGTGCTGTTAACTGCTGAGCCATCTCTCCAGCCCTCCAGTTTTCTTTTTCAGGGGAAGGAAGCCAGTGATATGTACCACAGAGACTTTATAAAGGTGAAACATACTGTACCTAGTGTCCATTAATTGCACAGTTCATATTTGAGTATTTCCTTTGTCCCAGGCACACATAGGGTTCATGCCTAATGGGTGTGACAGTTCTAGCACTTAAGATGAGAACTGTATTGGGAGGATGGAATTGCTTTAATTTTTTAACTTACACTTATTACTTAGGGGTAGGGGGCCGCCAGGGGGCATTCATGTCCCGGCATGCACGCGGAGGTTGGAGGAGAACACGTGGGAGTCGGTTCTCTCCTCCTTCTGTGTGGGTCCTGGCGATGAACCTCTGGTGGTTATGCTTGGCGGCACCTCCACCCGCTACTCCATCTCACGCACTTGGCATAGCTTTATAGACTACGCTGTCTTACGTTGACTCTGCTTAGCTTCTTAATTGTGTGCTTAGACTATGCTTGACTTAGGAATGACCTGAATGCAGACCCAGACGTCCAAGCTGAGCTGCCTTAGGAAGACGACACCGCAGTGAAGACAGGCGAGGCTGTTTC